CTGATGCCCACCCACTGCTCCAGACGAGCAATCAGGATTTCATGGTCCACTGTATCAAATGCTGCAGTCAAATCTAAAAGTGTCTGTTAGAGTTTGTAAAACAATGCTTTTTTGTGTGTAAGAGGTGGTATTTTACCTTGAAAGTTAATGGTTCACTTTAGTCCCCTTCTTCATTTCTACATCAAAGAAATCACAATTTTCAGGTCAACACTCAACCCCTTTATCTCCTAAAATTACAGACCGACTCTCTCTTCTTCACTCCAACATTTCAACGCGTCTCTTCACTGTACACCAGCTCTTCACCTCTTGTTCTTACTCAATACCACTTCTCTCCCCCAGGAGGTGATTATACCTCTGTAGGAAATGATATTTTTTTTGTTAGATCCTGGGTGTTGTATGGATCAATCTGTTATTTTTGCCTACCCAGCTAAACCCAGACCTGTTATACTGCCCATGCTGAATTTTTATTCTCAATTTCCTTTTTTCTTACTTTCTGTGCTGCATATTTTAGTCATTAATTTGATATTTGTCCTGTTTTGGTATAATTGAACTCCACTGTGAAAATGGTCAGACTGAGGGAATGTAAATTCATCCACTCACTTTGTTTCTAGTCGGAGCAGCAGGGACTTTTGGCACAGATACCATTAGTGGCATCGCCTTATGTCCACTGCATCAGTCATCCATAATCCAAACTAACTGACTGTCAGCTCAGCGGAGCCTAATAGTGTTGTTATTTCTAATGAGGATGAGCCCTGCGAGGCCACACACTCTTTTGACCTTTGCTTGTTGCTGGTTAAATGCTGTTTCTGTCTGCAGACAAATGATTAGGACTGACTTTTGGCAATCTCTGACAGACTCGCTGCTTTCTCCTACAGTGATTGTGTCCCCCTATCAGCGTCATGACAGGGGGACACAATCAGCCACGTGTGCAGCTGTGCAAAAGATGAACAAAACAAATTCAGTTACCATAATAGGAAAATAATACAAATCTGCATTTATTTCTGTTTTAATAGCGAAAGACAGTTTTTCAGTATTTGTTTCGGTTCACTGTGGGTTTTCAAGTTATTTGGCCTCTAAGATATTTTCTACTGTTTGATCCCCAAAAAGTGACACACAGACCCACTAGTTTTTGGACCAGGTTCAATTCCTGGACACTGCAGCAAATCCAGCTTCACATTCGCTCTCAAATGTATAACATGGTTGCAACTATCTTTTACTGTCATCAATGAGTCTGTCCATTAAGTTTTAAGTCTATGAAATGTTAAATAATAGGAAAAAAAGTCAGTTTCCTGAAGGGACAAGGTGACTTCTTCATCACTGGTTAATCTGCTGAATATTTTCTTCATTATTTGTTTTGTTTATAAAGAAGTTAGGGTGATACTTTTGCTTGATAAATGACTTAATCATTCTCAGATATGTTGATTAACTGTCTGTTGATTGTTGTTTAATTTGAATTTGACAATGCTTATTACACTGTTGCAAAATAATGACATTTATAGCTGTGTTACATAAAGACCCTTTCAAATTCCCTGAGGTAAACTGTGTGTCTGGGATATTCTAGTTTAGCACCTGGCAGCCTGGGTATTAATAGAACATATAAATCTTTCTTTCGAGAGCGGAATATCTTACACAACGACGGGATGGAAGTAGTTCAAAGAGCTGGAGCTGAAAGATCATAAGCAAAGAATCATGTCCCTTGGGGGGCTTCAGTGTTTCCACAGTCCTGTACATCAGCCATAATGCTTCCAACACTGACCGAAGAGGCCTGCAGGAGGAAGTCTCATTGTTTGCAGAGCACTGATACAGCAGACGGCCCACAGAGGCTCATCTGCCAAGTGACTCACCCCCTTCTAGAAATGCACACGCTCAACTCCTCCAATTAAAAGCATGCCTATGAATTATTAAGCATTCACTGTGGTGTTGACCCCAGCGCTGGCCAACCGTGAACTAACAGAACAAAGCTGCTGCAGGTGACTACAAAGACTATTATTACCAATTATTACCTGTCGTGGAGTGCTTGAGGCGATAGCGGATGCTAAAGCAGCAAAGGGAGGACATTTTCAGGCCAATAATAGATTTTTAATTGCGAATAAAACAAAAATGTAAGCACAAGGCAGAAAAACAAAATCAAGGCTGTATCTTCAGTGTTCATTCTTATCTCTGATGTTTTTCTTTCTTTACCTTTTTTTACTTTGCTTTTCATTTTACCTTCCTGCTTTGTGGTGCTGCCATCTTATGTGTATAGTTTATTTATATGGGACAGTGCACAATTAACTGTCTTAAACGGTTGGGTATTGAACCTAAATGTAGTTTAGTGTTAGTTTCTGATTTAAACTTTTTTTTGTTTCAATTTTTGTATTTAATTTAGGCACACGCGGAGGTGAATCCATATGTTATATCTAGTTTGTTCAATTTTTTATTTATCTTTTATTGTTAATAATTAATACACTGCTCCTGGTTAAGAAATTGTCTGGCACATAACCCCTCACTTTGGCCTTTGAACAGATTAAAGCTTACAAATCAATGTTATTAATTTCCATATGTCATTTGTTTAGAGGTACTGGGAGGTACATTTTTGAAAAGTTTGACTTCTTATGATACCCTTAAGAAACCAATATGGAATATCAACTCAAAATGATTTACTGGCATTTGATTCACTGGTTTCTGGATGTGTTTTTCCCAGGAGCTGGAGAACCTGAGGAAGCAGGCAGAGATAATCCCTCAGCTCATGGCAGAGTGCGAGAGCATCACCACAAAACTGCAGGTACGTTCAAAAGGACCCAGAAATCCCACAAACCCCACGTTTCTCTCAGGTGTGATTTACAGCGGAGTATAAAAGTAGAGCCGCACAGACCTCGAGTCGGCAGCACACGTGAGGACACGATGTCCGTCACAGCGACGTAACACACAGGCTCTGAGGCGTAAGCAGTGCTTTCAGACGGAGGTAGAGAATGAGTTCCTATTCACCATTCTGCCTGAGGGCTGGTGACACAACATTCCTATCACGTGTCTCACTAACGCACATTCTGGTTACTGTATCTGTTAATAAAGGTCTATCCCCAGTACAATACTGAGTGGATTATTGCCTCTTTGAAAAGGTTTCCTTTAACAGAGATACTACATCTTTGTCACAGCTTATTAGTTTCCTAGTGGTGCAGATATGATTAGTTTAGCTGACTACAAAAACAGCTGAACATGTTTGTGGATTGTGTCTGAGGTTAAGTTGGGTGTGAGAATCTGCCAGAAACAATAAAGATTCACGTCCGTCTCCTCCTCTCTTCCGTGTAACAAAGAGCACCTGTTCTTCAAGGCTGATTCCTCATTGAGTAATATCACACTCTCTGTAAAACCAGAAGTGCCAGGCTCGGTGAATGACTGTACGCCCCACGAGTGCCAAGTCTGACATGAGTTGCATTGATAGTGACGCTCATCTCGGCCCTGTTCAGACTGACTCAGAGCAGGATTTTATCATCCAAGCTGTCATGCATGTGCTGCCTTTCAAGCCAGGCAGGGAGGAGAATAAAACCAACAGTGGCATGCCTGAAGTTTTTGTGCTTCACAAAGCTCGACTGCCTGGTTTGTTTTCTGCAACAGCCAGCTGGATGAATGACAGTGGCAACAGAACTGGCTGAGGCAGGAGTTTATCTAAGCAGCCATCCAAACTGAGGTGTATAGACAATGGGATTTCTCGAATACCTCAGTCTATCCATGAAGCCCAAAAAGAAAACTCAGCCACTGTCCATTCAGATTAAAGTTAATGGCTAAAGTAAAACTGCTGAAAATGGCTTCCCCCCCCCCAGTTTTTAAAAAAACAAATCCACTTATTCTACCTCTGTGTTTGTGGTCACGGCACCCCTCTATTTAAAGACGACACCCCACGTGGAGCTCAGGTTTCAGGAGTCAGCTGGAGGATACAGGCATGCAGGCGCAACACCCATTTAGCACTCCTATTTTAAACCCCTCCCTTCAATGGGATCTATGGCATTAATGTGTCACTTGTGTCGCCTGCTAGTCTGAAAGACTTGCTTTACCCTCCCATCCTCCCACAAAAATGTACATTCCTATTTGTAAAGCTTAGTTTCCAGTCCTGATGATGTAAATCTGATTATTATTTTACATCATTCTGACATGTGAGATTCTAAAAGGCCAGTTGAACTGCTTTTATGTATTTTTTGACAGTAGCTGTGAGATGCTCTGCCTTTGGTTTGACGTCTCTGTTAAGAAAAAGACAAAAGAACACATCTGTACTGCTACTTCAAATGCTCTGACATCCCTTCATCCACCATTCGCTGTAATGTAACTATTGTTTTTTTAATATCTGCCCACAGGCTGCAGAGACGAAGAACGTCGACCTGGAGGGGAGGATAGGGGGTCTTCAGGTGGACATAGACGACAGTCGACAAAAGCAGAGCAACATGCAGGGCGAGCTGAAGAAGTTCATGGATATTCTGGATGGAAAAATAGACGAGCTGCATGAGTTCAGGCAGGGACTCTCCAAGCTAGGTGTTGATAATTGAAAAAAGTGGCACTGAGTTGAAAGGGTCAGAGGTCAGGTACAAAGGATTCACTACAGTATGTCTTCAGGGCAGAAACTATGTGGCACCTACTCCCCCAAGGTGATGTCCACTCAATCAGCTTTGGCTTCTAATAAACACTACCATGTGAGAGAGATTTTTTGGAGAGGGAGAGAGAGACTGGCAGGAGGAAGGCCAGCATGCTCCACCAAATGGCTCCATTTTGTATGCTGGCATTCTGAAACTAAATCAAGAGTCACACTTTGAGCTTACTTACCCGTTTCTGTGGGGGGGGAAACGGGTTTAAAAGCTGGTGGTGGGTTCTTAGATTCTGTCCATCTGTCTTTTTTTTCTGAAGGCTGCTGCACTTCTTCACAGACAGTCTGAGTTTAGAGTAGAAGAGGGGACTTAAAAGGGCTAAAATGAATAACACACAAAGACAGTGCTGTTCAGCATCACTCAAGTAATAATTGGTGTTAATCCTTGTGGCCCCCTCAGAGAATTAGATATGAAATCTTTCTACTGACTGTCCTTGCTGTTGCCTCTCGTCTATCTCAGGTGTGTTAGAAGACAGTTTGTACTCATTAGATTATATGCACATATGACAAATGGCCGTGACACAAAGTGCCTCCAGGTGAGTCTAAATCTACCTGGCAAGGAGAACTGGCCAAGTGATGACCATCACCATAATAATAACTTTGATGATTTATTTTTTTTTGTGAGAAACCCCAATGAAAAAACAAACATCCTACTACAAATAAAATGAGACGAAAAGAGAAACGCAGGCAGTCGAGCCCATCCCGAGGACGTTAATGTGGCTAATGGATGCCAATGCGGTGACAAACCACAGGTGTTTGCACACAAAAAACGACTGAGAAGGGACTGCAGCAGGAATTCATCAACTCTTGTGGGTGTTTTCAGTAAACACAGTTTAATTATATTTGCATAAAGACGGAAAACTTTGTTGTCTCAGGAGCTTTCCTTCAGAAACATCCAAAAATAATATTAGGAACCCCGTTTTGCCATGAGTGTAGTGTAGTGTTCAAAGGACTTTGTGTGTGCAATAGTATTGTTGTCCATTTGTAGAACAAAGACTGTTGATGTGCTTCCTACACACTAGTTTTTGTTATGGTGGTGGTTATTTTTGGGTGAGGGGACTTGGTGCTGCTCGATGGGTGAATAATGTGAAAGTGTACTTCACTGAAAATATTTAGATGGCATGGGCCTTTTCACTACAACCCTGTCATTCTTGGTTTTTGTTTTACCTATTTATTTATTTTGGTGCCTCTCTGCAACTCGTGTTTCTAGAACATACCAAGTAAATCAATCTTAACCTAATGTTTCTATAGATGTACAATAATATATAAAATATACCAAATTGTCAGGATTCAGAGGTTTTGTTTGCAGGATGGTGTCACAGCTGCTTTTGGGATGCTTGAAATGTAGTACATTTGAAATCGAAGGTACATGTTGGAATATTTACTGGGTAACATCATGATGTTATAAGTATATTTTTTCATCACTGTTTTGATCTTGTCATGAGATTGAAATATATCAATGAAGGGACTTTTTGCTTCTTTCTGTTTAAACCCTACTGTTCATAAGTCTCCTGAACCTGGATAACACAACGTATGATCCTTCCTTTTGAACCAATGCCTCTTGTGCACTTTTGTGACTCCTGTTCAATATTGTACAATAGAACTGACAATTGTTAAAATTTAGTTTAATTACAATGCTGAGTTAGTGTCTTCTTTTACATTTGAGCGGTGGGGCCACATTTTGGCAATAGCGCCGCAGAGAGGAGATGGTTCCTTAATCCAAACTTAGTCACAAATCAGTGTTGTGGGTTGCGTGTAGAAAACAAACTAGTGTTAAAGCTTACGAGTATGCTGACATTGTGAAAGTCTTCAGGCATTTTTTTATCCTGGATGAGAAGCACAGAGGAGGTGGAATGAACCTACAGCGCCAGAGCTGCATCCCGTCGAGGCTCAAGTACAGAAGCTCCGCCACCGCACATCTTTTCTCTGATGTTGATTTACATAGCACTAAATATAGCTGTAATCCAAGAAAAACAAGTGGGATTTAATCAGTCTGTGACACGTATCAATTTCTGAGATAAAAAAAACAAACATCTTGTTTAAGGGATGAAAAACTCCATCATCCTCATAGTAGTGAGGAAATAACTGCAGGGGTGGACCAGTGGACGTGTTGCCTTGGCAACCTAATCCCACTCGTTCCTGTTTTTTTGTTGTAAATAACGGTGTGAGTGATTGACAATGAGAAATATAGATCCAGTGTTACCTTCCAACAACAGAGTTGATCATCTTTTACAGCCAATGGGACTCTTGGTTGTTGATCGGAGTCTTTTTCACATTCAGAGATCAGCTTGTTGGCAAAGGTAATATTCATCAATATGCAGAATCTATCAATATTCATCAATATGCCTACATAAACAAGGAATATCTATATAGTTATTCTCAATACCTGCCAACAGGTTGGATTCAGTCGAATTCCCCTTGAAATCAATAAAAAGAGGCGATGGAAACACTCCGGCAGGGGGCGCCATAATCGACACAAAATGAAAGCTCCTGGTAGAGGCTTTAATCTACAGTAATATAAAACTGAAAAAAAAGCAGCAAATGTTCACAATTGAATGATTGAAATTGTTGCTGATTCATTTGGAGAGCATCTTCTGGTTCCAGCCTCTTCAGTCTGAGAGGCTTCTCTTTCATACCGTTAACTGAATGTCAATCAACAATCATCAATTCAATTGTTGATTGACAAAAGAATGAATCAACCTGCCCTAACACTAATTATTCTGAGGATCGACCATTTGATGATTAAACCTTCTGAGTCACTTTTCAAGCAAAGATGGCAAACATTGTCTTTTTCCGGTTTCTCAAATGTGAAGACGTCTTATTTGAATATCTTTGGATTTTCTAGTGTTAGTTAAACAAATAAAGCAATGTGAAGACATCACTTTGTGCTCTGGGAAATTCTAATCAGCATTTTCCACCATCTTATAATATTTTATGGACAAGCTCCATAAAAATATAATAGCTAGTTGTAGAAGAATATCTTTTGGGAACTTTTGTTAGGTCTTTTTTATCTGGATCTTTTCACTTTAAGGCCAACAGGGAACTGGCTCTGTTCGGGTTCAAGCACATAACTGTTAACTGTTCTGAGCGTTTCGACCAAAACTAAATTGGTTCGTAACCTGAAAAGTTGGTTCCCAGCTGGAACAAAAAACTAGCAGGTTTTCTATCTATCGACTATCAAAACTGGAAACGGGGCTGGTTTTTGCCAGATAGTACCAAGATAACGAGTCTTGAAGAGAACTGGTTCAAGAACTAGAACAAATGTAGTGGAAATGGTGCATTTTAGGACTTTTTAGCCACACTAGTGCCATGACTCTAAGGATGGTAATGTCAGTCGGTCCACCGCTTTGGTCCAGACTAATCATCAGACAATTGTTCCTCTGGTGCCAGCAGCAGGTCAGAATTTACGTAGTACTTTTGTTAAATCAAATATGACCAAATATCTGCAAAACTAATAACATTCCCAGTAGCTTCAGCTTTACTTTGTGCTAATTAGAAACTGTTAGTGAGCTAACATCCTAAACCTGACTATCATTTAGCTTAAAGCACCACTTATAACCTCACAGAGCTACTAGCGTGGTTGTACACTTTTAGTCTTATTTAAGTATTTTCTGGCCTTTTTGTTACCTTTATTAGCTCGTGTGTTCTTTGTTTTTTTTTTGTTTCTTCGTTTTTTTGGTCTCACTGTGGGTTCTGGATCTTGTCACTTTCAGACTTTTATAGACTAAATTATGAATGAATTAAATGAAAAATGCCTTATTAGAACCATCAAACCGATCACAATAGCAGAGATGCAGCAAAAGCAGCATTTCTCTCTCCGTCCCCCCATCGCTGTCTCTTTAACTCTCTCAGCAAGGCTCATTGTGTGACTGGTGATGAGTGGGCGAGTTGGTGAAACATCATTAAGAGACTATGCTGCTCTGTACATGTGTCAGAGAGAGAGAGAGAGAGAAAAAGAGAGCGAGAGCGAGCACTGCAGGCCACTACCACTGAGACTTCCTGTTGTTGCCATAGTAACAGGCTGCGGAATTTCACGTTGATCGGCGGGTTCGTCTGAATACCCGCCATGCGTGTGTCTTCCCCAAGGTGTATGACCCCGTCTTCCACCTGAATCACTCGGATGAAACCAATAAATAACAAACACTCGCAGTCGAACGCAGAGCGATGGCGGCCCTGCAAAACCAGATGATGCTCAAGAGCAGCCGTAACTACCTCTGCTAGGCGGCTGCTCTCTAAGCACACAGAGCTGAATAAACTCAATCACAACTGGCTGGGGATGTCTGAGCTGTCACTGCAGGAGAGAGATGTGAGAGCGACTGCTGCCAGGATGGATATTACAATATGACTCATCATCATGTGGGCTACAAATCCACCAAAAGCACGCTCGGGGGGGGGGGTTCATCAGCACACGTTGATAAGACACCTCTTTAGATGATGTGACTCATTTAAAAGTTTTCATTATGGCCCAGGTACAGCTAACCTGTGAAGATGAGGGGAACAGCGTGAGCAATCCATCTCACGGCAACAGATTTCGAATGAAAACGAAATTGCCAACAATCCATTTATAATCAATCTTGTCGACTTTTATTATTGAAACAGCAGTTTCAGACTAAGCCGCCATCAGCTCGTCTGTAATGCACTGGAATAAGTTGCATATCTTTAAACTCTTCTGCTAACCATTTTATGCTGTGTGACATACGGTATTTTATTTTTTGTAGATAATACATTATTGTCTTTTTTTTGGAAGGTTCAGGTAAGTTAAGTGCTCTGTGTCACAGGTTCAGAGGTCAGAAGTACAACATTTGCCCCTAAACATCAACAATAACAGAAAGCTTCTCTGACGATTCAGCTATCGTTAGAGACAGAACTGTGTACATGAATGAGTATTGGTTAATAAAAACAACTCTAGCATTCTTTGTCACTTCCTTGGTTATGGCATTAAAAGTAGAAGAAATAACATTTTATGTATAAATTGCACCTAAATTAAGCCTAACACATTCACACATTTCTGACACAGAAAGACAAACAGGGACAGGACAGTGCATCAAACAGCCTGTAACACAAACAATGACGTAGACTTCAAACATGTAGGCTGTAAATAATTAACACTGCTGCACCCCAGGACACAACTCTTACTTTGTTGAGTAATAAAATGCAAAAACAAAACTACAAAACTCAGTAGCCCTTTGTTGGGGTAAAGTCAAGTTAAAGAAAACAAGTGCTCAGATTTAAATTACATTCAAAAAGATAACATGTCAGCAGAGTTTACGCTCAGCCGTGTGGGGAAAGTAGCATGTTGTGTAGTGTAGTCGCGTGTGCCTGCAGCACAGGCTTCCCCTGCTGTGTGACAGTCTTACAAAAGGCCTTCAGATGCCGAGTTGGGAGAAATTCAATCATTTACACACTGTACTACAGTACTTCTGGTTGGTTTTTCTTCTTAATGAGTGCTGAAGCAAACCCACTGCTTTAAAAAGGAGACTAAATCCTGATTCTACCACTTGGATTTGAGCAGTTGTGCATGTATTACATCTCAGGGCTACTTGACAAATGTGATTTCTGTTTGACAACTTCAACAAACTGCAATGTTTAAATCATTCTTGTCAAAGAAGAAGCTTTTTTTTTGGTGAACATTTGGCCGCAACATAAGCTCAGAACTGAAAACAAAGCAGTAATGCAAGAGAACAGCTTAATTGGTATATGTGTGCGTGCGTGCTCTCAGCTGTCCCAGTCTGTACTCTGTGTCTCGTCGTCTCCTCTGTCCTCCTCATCGGAGTCGGCCGATACCTTCTTCATCCTCATCATGGCAGCTTTGATGCTTCGCTCCAGCTCATTGTCTCCACTGTTCAGATCGTCTGCGCGTGCAGGAACCATCTAGAGCACGAGAGTCGATTTAATACCTGCTTTTCATTCAAATTCAAAACACGTATAACCTCCTGCTGTTGAAATTGTGGATTTGATGGAGGAAAAAATCCTTTTATCTCACAGCAGACATTTTGACATGTGGGTTTACAGCCATTGTGAAAGTTATTACGTGCTAAGGCTCATTCATCACAATGTCTGTTATGAAAAAGGCACACCTGATCCTACACACAAACTGTACAAGCGGATATATAACTTAGAGATATTGGTCACCAATGATCCACCTGGGGATACCAAGCTGGCAATAACATGCAAATAAAATCTATTAAAACAAATGCAAGATATTTAAATGAAACTTTATACAGACTAAAAGAAAATAGCGTACACACACAGATGAACTTCAGCTGGTTATAATGGAGAAGTACATTTTCTAACATCTGTTATTCAGTTCTGCTCCTTTTAAGATGCCAATAAACTTAGTCTAAATGACTGAAAACACCAGGGGACATTTGCCTCATTTGTCTTTCAAGCTGCCTTCAGTTATTCCCATTTACCTAAAAATCATTACGAGATGTCGCACTTGGTTCATGTATTCACATGAACCATGGATGGTAAAATTAAACTCTTCCCCTTTCAAACATCAGGCTCTGGCTTTTTGACCATCAGAAAAACACAGAATATAAAACAGTGTAGTGAAGCCTATACTCATATTGATATTAAAATTCAAATTAACTTGTAATCTTGATACGGATCCCTTAAATATATTTTTTTTTTAC